CCAATCCTGGTTTCTTTGTCTCCCTTCATTAACATGCTGAAAGTCACTCTAACCTAAGCTCTCTTTTCTGCCTGTTTGAAGAAACCACATCTGCTTCTACTTTATCATCTACTAACTTCTTGTTCATAGTCATCAAGCTGGTCCCAATTCATAGCGACCTTTCACTGGGTTTTTGAGGCTGTACATTGTTAACAGGAGGTATCTCTACTCAGATACCCTGGTGGATTTGAACCAACATACACTAACAGATGATTAGCAATGCAGGAGAGCACCTTACGCTCTGCAAATTCTTTCCTTTTATAAGTAGCCCTGTTCTTACAAATGCTGTTCTGAGCTTTACAACAAAGGCTGAATCTCAAGTCTGAATCTAAAGCTTTCCTTTTCTGTTTTCCTTCATCAATGTTGTTGATTGAGCTTCTCAAGTGGAAAGGCTTTTTCTTCCATCCAATACTTGGTTTTCTCCACCTCTCTGACTACTCTCATCTCTCCAATCAGAGGTACTGTTACATGGTCCCGTTTCAATCCATTCTTTCCTTCACCCACATGTGCCACAAAGCCTCTCTTTAGTCCTCTAACCTCCAGAGTTTGGCCGTCCCAAAAGTTGCACACATTGCACGTGTTGAATGGGATGATTTTCTCCAAAATGCCCCTTGTTCCCCATTTGTTGGTACCTCATCAGTCATTTTTTTTTCTAGTCATGTAGTCTAAATACTTGCAACATGTTCTTAACTCTCTTTCCTTTTCCACATGGCACAATGCACAGGACGAGAAAATAAGTAACACCTCAACAAGGTTTCAACCAACTCTACCATCATCCACTTGACTCTGACTCATGGACACTCTCCAGATTCCTGAGGTCTAAAACTTAACTGGAGGCGGCTGACTCATCTTTCTCTCCTAACTTGGGGGTTCAAACTGCCAGCTTTTCAGTTTAGCAGCCCAAGGCTTAATGTGCCACACCAAAGCTCCTACAAGAATACAGGCTTAATTTATAAAAAGATAAGGGAGCTCTGGTGGCCTAGAGGTAAGGAGCTGCACTGCCAAGCCGAGGCAAGCTGTTCGAATCCACCAGCAGCTCTGCAGGAGAAAAGATGGGATGACTTCTCCCACGGCAACTACTGCCTCCGAAAACTCACCGGAGAGTCAACTGTGGGGTGGTTCTGACTTGACAGTACTTAACAACACGGCGTCCTCTCAAGTCAAAGCCTACTTTGGAAATGGCTACTGCTATTTACGGTTTCACAAGCATCCCTTCCAGAAAAAATACAGAAACTAAAGAGAAGTTAAGACTAACATGTGAAGCTGGTCAGGACAAGCCACCCGAACATATACAACAACTCTTTATATTACAGTCGTGTCAGAAAAACATCTTTAAACAAAGCCTAAGCACTGATGTAAGCAAGGCTTTCTAAAGTGCAAGCACTGAAGGTCTAGAAATGATCTGATTCTCCTCTAGGAACCAACCCCTGCAATAATTCAATTAAATGAGGCAATTCTAGACATGACTTGTGTTGTCTCTTGTTTCTAACTTAAGGAAAAATGAAAATGAAAATAAAACATCATTCAGGGGAGTAAATGAAATTCATGAATTCACCCTTTCTGCACTGGCAGTTTCAGTGGGATCTTATTTAAAATTTCTTTTCACACACACAAAAAAAATTCTTTTCACTTGCTGCTCTCCATTTGACCCTCAAGGAGTCAAGTACAATTGTTCTCAAATTTCATTTCCATAAACAGTTGAGTACCAGTCGCCTTCCCCCGCCCATTGCGGGGGTTGAGTCTGATCCAGTTGGCACAGGAGGAGACTGACTGTCCATCCTTCTCCAGCAGCGTATCTGGTGGATTCGAACCACGCACCTCTGGGAATGCAGCGCAACTTCTTGCCACTAGGCCATCAGAGCTCCCTACCAGAGGTCTTTCTTAAAATGCAGATTCTGCTTCAGCAGGTCTAGAATGGGCTCCCAGCTGCTACTCCCGCCTTCTTAAGAAACCTAGAGAAAAGTAACTTGACCTTCAGCATTCATTTTCAAACCACATGTGGTTCATCAATCTCTCCCATGGAGTCTTCTTAAACCTAACTACTTAGAATTCTGGGGTGATTGACGATTTCTAATAAATATCCACAAGCGATTCTGATACACCCCACACGCAGATTAAAATGAGCAGACGTAACAGGAGGTAGAAGGGAAAGGGTAACACTTAAGATTGTCATTGCTGTTGTTTTTATGTACCATCGAGGTGCCCATGACTCATAGCTCTATGTACAATTGCTCTGAGCTTCTGAGCCAGTCTTATGGACTCTGAAACACTATCCCCACGGCCCCAGTCACTGAGACAATCCATCTCATCTGGGGTCTTCCTCTCCTACCCTGTCCTTCCACCACTCCTAGCATGAAGTCCTTCAAGGACTGGACACTCCTGGCCATGTGCCTAAAATACGTGAGATGAAGCTTCAAAATCCTTGCCTTCAAGGAGAAAAGTGGTTTCAATCTCTCCACGATAGAGCTATTTGTTATTGACTTATACCACAGTCCCTGTGCATGTATTTACTGATGACATTTCCCCCTATAAAATAGTAAAGCATCTCGAGGAAGGGGTGCCTTATACGCACTGACGTCACTCCAGAGGGAGTTCAGTGATGCCAATCCTATTACTCACACCCCGCTGATCACAGAGGATGGGGCGCCAAAGAGGGAAGGAGAAGGAAGCTGCGACTAATCATGACCGCCATGGACGGTCACCAAAGAAGAGAGCAGCTGGCTGTGGTGTCTTCTGTTCCCATGTCAGTGGCTAGTACCTAATGCCCTCCTGACCAGCAGCAGTTCCTAGAAAACTATGCTGCTACACAAAGGTGACACCTCTCTAAGGTTCAAATCCTGCAGAAGCTCTGAGGGAGGTGAATGGGTAACCTTCTACCATGTGATTTCCAGCCTCCAAAAAACTCAGCGATGACTCGAGCGCAATGAGTCGAAGTTGTTTTGTTTCATCCTGACTGGTTTATCACTGGGCTGAAGAAATAAAGTAGTGAATTACAGGCTGGTCTGTTTTCCTTAAAAGCTTTTCTGAGAAGCTACTTGGCCTCCTATTACTTCACTTTGTTGCTCTGAATTTAACCCAAAATCTGTCATTTGTTGAGAACAGTCAGCATATTTTGAGCACATGTGAGAGTTAGACATTAGTCTATTGTCTAGGATTATACCCTCATGCTCCCTTTTTCTCTGGAGCGGATGTGTCCTAATAATAAACGTACTGGTGTCTCTAACTACACAACATTCAGAAGCCTCAGTCAGATATTTCACACCTTTTATCAGAAAGGAGGCAAAACAGCTATTATGCAGAGAACAGCAGATGAGTCCAGGCGGGCCCTCCTTATCCTGCAGGTCCTGCAAGGGTGGATTCACCAAGTATGGAAAAGAGCTGGGGAGGGAGGAGGCGATTAAGTACCCAAAGGTATCCCTTGAAGGCTAAAAGAATCAAGTGCTATATACATATTATGTACTTTGTGTCAGGTAGTCTAAGTAACTGAGAGGTAATTTAAAATATGGAAGGATGTGCATGGATTACTTGCACACTACGCCATTTTATGAGAGGGCCTGGGGCGGCCTGGAATGGATAGAGTCCTTAGTGCTGCAAATGGATAAACCACTTGGATGTTAATGGAAAGGTTGGCGCCTGAAACCCTCAGGAACCCATTCAGGGACTCGGCAGGGGAAGATCTGGCTATCTGCTCCGTGAAAGACTACAACTAAGAAAACCCCCAGAGGCAGTTCCACGCGGTCACATGTCAAAATCAACTATGAGTCAAAATCCGCTGCGAGTTGAAATCAAGTCAAGGACACCAAATTACACAATACGTCATTATTTTTACATGTACCATTATCTCAAAAGCAAAGTTTACCCCTAAATTGGACACCTGTTTTTACACGTCACGAACACTAACAGAAGCAATACAGAATCGCCTGCGCGCGCGCGCGCGCACACACACACACACACACACACAAAGCGGCAACACTTATTGTAAAACAACAAACCAAGCCTGGATTCCCAGACTGTATTTTGTTACCCTGACATTTCCGGGCAGTTTTCAAATGGTAGCTCTGCGAAGGAAAGGCAAATACTCCTTTAAATTCTCTGCAACTGAAGGAAGACAACTTCTACCAAATCAAAAGCAGCTACACTTCTTTCGGACCACCTGGATCGGTGCCAACCTATAGTCAATCAATTGGATGATGCCAACTTTTGTTTTCCCCAATGGGTTAAGGCACAAAAAAAGACAAATACAAAGGCAAGGAAAACAGGGTGGGTGGGCACGGCACGGGTGTCTAGGTGCAGACTAGGGGCAGGAAAACCCTTACAAGTCCAGCCCTGGCCGTCCCACACATCACCCAGAGATGCCCACAGGGACCTTCAAAACACTTCCAGCCTTCCCGTCTGTCCCGATGGCTAAGTCCCAGTTGGAGTATGAAAAGCCTGAGCCAAGGTTAATACTAAAAAGCACAAGTGTTTTAAAAATTCACTTCCACTCCAGGCATGAGACATCTCTGGTTTTCACTGGGCGGTTTGCTAGCACACGGTCCCAGGTTACAAGCATCCTAAATCCTTTCCGCCCAGGTCTCTAATCTCCCCTAGGACGGATTTCAACTACTGGAAAGACGAGGACCAGAAGTTCTGGAAAGCCTGGGAACGCTGAGCCAGCAGGAAGCAGCGCCCAACTTTCCCGTCCTCGAAGGGGGCAGGGGGTCGCGCAGGGCCATGGCGGGCTGGCTGCCCCCCGCGCAGTCCAGGGCCCGGGCGCCGAGCGCGGGAAGCGAAGGACAGGGAAGCCCTGCGCTCGGCGGCCCCGCTGGGGAGGGAAGCGCGCGGGGTGGGGCGCGCGCTGGAGAGGGGCGCGCGCGGGGGGTCTCCACGCTCGGGGTGCCCCCCGCCGCCCCCTGCACCCGCAGTCGGTGCCCACGGAGGCGGGCGGGGGCCGGGATCGGGCTCCCGGGGCCGGGTCTCACCTGCTTGCCCCGGTAGAAGAGGCGCTGGCACTCGGGCCGCACCTCGAACAGCGCCCACACGCGCTCGCGCAGCTCCTCGATGGTGGCATTGCGGGACACGTCCTCGACGGTGCGCGTCTGCGAGCCGTCGATCGTGCGCACCTGGATCCACATCGCGGCGCCCGCGGGGCGGCCGGCCCCCCTTTGTCTGCGCCCTCGGCTCGGGGCGCCGCGCCCCGAACGGCCCGCGCCGCTGCCCCGGAGCTCGGGTCGCCGCGGCGGGCGCGCGCACGGGAGGGAGGACCGATCGGACGCCGCCGGGCCGGGCAGGCGGCAGTGTCCGCGCTCCGAGCCCGCCCGCCCGTCCGCCCAGCCGAGCCGAGGACGAAGGGAAAGCAGAGACCCGGCGCAGCTGCCCGAGCAGCGCCTCACGAACGGGAACGAGCCATGCCCGCGCCGCGCCGAGTGTTTACTTATGGAGCTGGGGCTCCCACATGGAGGTCACGGCGCCAAGCCTGATCTCGCGAGATCCGCTCGGCGCCCCGCCTCACGGAGCGGGGGGGCAGTTGGGGGGCGGGGGGCGGGGCTGCGGGAGCCGTTATTCGCCCTTCGCGCGGCCGCGCCTGGAGCGGGTCGCTGCTCGGAGCCGGGTCGCCCGACGGCCGCGGGGTCCACGGAGCCTGCTCGCCGGACACCTGCTGTCCGAGTCCTCGGGCCTAAAAGAACACGGGCCGACAGTTGTAGAAACACCGCCATCCCCAGAATCACCACCCCTGTGGCACTGGGGTGGCCAGAACGAGGCCCCCCGGCCAGGCCCGGCTTCCATTTAAATGAGGGCGCGACGTGAAGGCCGCGCGCGCCACGAGGCCCGGGTCCCGCGGCCTCCCGGGCCTCCC